CCGGGTGTGGTGGCTCATGCCTGTAATCCCAGCACTTTGGAAGGACGAGGCAGGTGGATCACTTGAGGTCAGGAGTTCAAGACCAGCCTGACCAACATGATGAAACCTCATCTTTACTTAAAAAAAAAAAAAAAAAAACTAGCTGGGCAGAGTGGCATGGACCTATCCCAGCTACTCGGGAGGCTGAGGCAGAAGAATTGAATGAACCTAGGAGGCAGAGTTTGCACTGATCTTAGATTGCCCCACTGCTCTCCAGCCTGGGGGACAGAGCAAGACTCTCTCAAAAAAAGCAAAACAAACCAACCTTAATGGTGTGCAATAAATGAAAATGCTGCCCCAGTTAGATGCGACTAGCATTTTTCAGCAACCTTCAAGGTCTTGTGTCATAGGAATGAAGATCTCAGCATTTCCCACCTATGGAGGGGTTGATGGAATTTTCAATCCCAGGCACCCTGGGCTGTGCTGAAAGCCTCCGCTCACTCTGCCGGGGTTAGTTGGGAAAGAGAGCTCCCGCTGATCTCTTTTAACCCTCATCCTTTTGTACCACAGCAATTGCTTTCCTAGACATCAGAACCGTGGCATCTTTGAAAATTCTAAAAAGCAATGAAGCGATTTTTCTCTTTTCATTTTTTTTTTTGATACAACTGTCTCAGTTTGAAGTTTTGTTTTCAAATTAGTTCTAAAAGTGTGCCTGCTTCACATCATTTTTATTAAAGGGGCTTGATATGAAGTTAGTTAAAAATTCAAATATTTAGAGTTTCAGGGCCCATCATCTTGGTTTTAGGGGCAGTACCTCAATTTCATATAGTGTTACTCTTCTCCAGAAAGATGGGTAACTGAATAATTTACATTTTATGGTTTTTATGAGAAACATTATTTCTGGTTATAAATGGTAAACATCTTTTAGTATGTGCAGTAAAAAATACTGATTATGTTAGGTAAAAAAAAACATAAGATGTGATTTTAATGTTCTCTTCCTGTAAGTGCCTTCTGGAGCAGAAGGTTGTCTGTTCATGGATTCTCCATCTTGGATTTGGAAACTATGTTGCACTGAGACGTGCGTGGTCTGTAGGGAGGAGCCTGTGGGCAGAACAGTTTGGGTTCAGCTGGCCGCCTTTCTACTCTGTTCAGGGAGGCTGGGTCTCAGAGAAAGATGGCAGCAGTTAGGTCTTGTTGGGAAGAAAACACGGCTACCAACCTGAGACAATTTTGCCATCCCTGAACAAATGCGGTAGTCGTTTGCCTACTTTTGGGGACGGTACCTGTGGTTTGTGCAGGACGAGGTGGCAGCTGGCTTGCCTGCTGGCCTGTTTGTTGGAGATAAGATGCTCAGACCAACTGCTGCTATTCAGGGATCATGGAAATAATGAATGCACTTCCCTCTGTCCCCCAATCTCATTTGCATGTCTTTGGAGCAAAGCATGTATTCTTTTTCTTTCTTCATCTCAATTGAGCTTTTAAATTAAATACGTGTTGCCTAAGCCATTCAGAAATGTTTCACATTTGAAAAAACAAAAGGTAGCTGCCTCCATGATTCGTTTGCCCACCTGTACACTGTGGCCTTGTAGGACAGTCCCCCCTTGGCTGTGCTGAGCCCATCTTGAGTGTTTCTGGTTCTAATCAGAAGTGGAACAGTTTCAGTGCTTCTTAGAGGTTCATGTTA